TAAATTTTGATATATATATATATATATATATATATATATATTATTAAAATATAACACAAATTCTAAAATTTTGACAAATCACACAAAACAAAGCGCAAGTCTATGTCTAATTTTAAATAAATATGCACCAAAGAAATATTGGTGATCAATGATATATTAAATAGCCGATATGGTGTAATACTATATCATCATTTTTAATAAATAATCCTACATCATCCTAATTAACATCGTTTTAGTTCATTAAATTTAAACGTATTATAATAAGCAATATCTAGTGTAAAAAAAGGCTTAAAGATTTAACATTTTCTATTATCAATAATTAAAAATTAACACAAGTGAGCATTCAAATATTTATCTTACGTTCATTTATGAAAGTACCCTAACGGATTGAAGACCATATTGATGGGTCTTCCATTTTACAAATAAGACATATCTTGTCTACATAAATTTTTTGAAATGATATATTTATTTTCATGTCTCTCCACTTTTATTTAGTTTATCATATTCAATTGAATTATATTTTTGTTTCTTATACTTAATATCTTTAGTTTTGTTTGTATTTATTTTCGGAGGCAAACTGATCATTTAGCTTGAGAGGATGAACTTGAAAAGAATTCTGAGTTTAGCCAAAAGCAATTTCTTTGGCAAAATGTCTACTCCACTCCACTCCATCCACAAGCATTTGACAATGTCAAGAGCCGAGTGATCAACTCAACAACTATAGATTATACATTTCAAAATCCTGAGTCTAGAACTTTTTCCTTAAGTAGAAGTACCAGTTCCTTTATGATAATTGTAACAATTATCTCAAGCCAATTCTCTCTCTCTCTCTTTTCTGATAAAGAAAACCTGGTAAATTTTACTCAAAAGAACTTTGTTTTTCTATTTATTTTTAACTGCTCGTGCAATCAACCCTCAACAAAGCTCACATCATATTAATATTATTTAGCACATGACTACTAAATTTTGATATTATTAACATAAATAGTTACATATAATGTCATATATTATTATAAAAAAATTTAAATTAAAATGTAACTCAACTTTATAAAATCGATTTATAAGAGGAGAATTACTTCCTACTTATATATAATAATATGATCATACCACCGGTAGATATAAGATTTCTAACACACATCCTTGTATCAAGGGCAAACAAAAAATTTGCAAAACTAGACATTGATGGTTTGATAAACTTTACTACCATCTTTAAGAAAGTGAATCGAAGTCTATAACAACCTTACAAAACTAATTAGTAATTTAAGAATTGTTATCCACTTATATACATCAATATGATAATATTATTCGTCAAGGTAAGATCTCCAAACACTTCATTATCACCTTCTCTCCCCTGTCAAATATTTTCTTTTCTATAAAGAAATAGAAAGGTCACCTTGTGCAGCTGACTTCCACAACAGAATAACAGCACCGAACAAAGGAAGGTATATTATTCACCAACTATTCTTTCTACAATTGAATATCGATTGCTTGAGCATTTATAGACCAAGCTTACTATACCGTTTATTTTAAATGGGAAAAAAATGTATCAATCGTGAATATTGAAATAAACTGTGTAGTGTTCATCTCTGAATGAGAATAATGGCTCCAAAAGAAAATTCCTCTTTGCCCCTTTAGCCACAAAACTGATAGGATGGTATTGGCTCAATCCTTCCCGAGAAACAAAGCTTGTTGCTTGGTTAAAAGTAGCATCAGAATCAGATTTGCAACTGAGCTTGACTCCTGCATTTGAGCTAATACCACTATACACATAACAGCCCTTATTGCTTTGGGATTCTAAAGATATGGTTTCATTTCTACCATCCAATCCTGGTACCACAAGAAAAACAGAAGATGGTCCACCATTGGAAGAATCTGCAATGAGAAGAGGTTTGTCTGCTCCTTGGTGAATCACATTCATCCCAGGAAGATCAAATGGTTCCAACACCACTGGTCTATCTTTAGTATCTGCCAATGCTGAAAATTTTGGGGAAGATTCTTGTAGGACAAGCCTAAAGGTTGCTTGAACAGCCGAATCAGTGCCAGATTCAGGCAATTTTTGCCCTGCAAGAGACTGGTTTGAATTTGCCAAAACAAAAGTTGATTCTCCAAAGTCTTGGAATAAAGAAACAAGTTGACTATTGTAAGTGGCAGGAATAGGAGTAATCCAGTTTGCATTGTCGGCCCCGGTTTTAAGGTCCCAATCACCACCTGTTGTATGACCGGCCAGAAGATAAGGACCATAGAGAATTGCTTGAACTGATGCATATTCAGGCCTGTCATCTGGATTAAGCTCAAAAACAATATCAGTAATATAACCAATTTTTTTGTTAGAAATATATGTTGACAGAAGAATACTAGTATTCAACATGCGTGGATTATCTCGTGAAGCTACCTTTTATGGCTTCTGTTCTTGTGGTAAGGGGCAGCTGAAGGGTCAGCTTGTCACTAGCACTCCACTGTCTTGTGATTGACAAAAAGTTTCCTAGAGGCCACAAAATAAAACATTACAATGTTTCAACTGTTTATTTTTACTGTTATAAAATACACAAATATATATAGTTTACTAGTGTGTGTTTCTGCTGTAAAAGAACTTATTTTTTTGGGGGTCAAGCATTCTAGCTACTAGTGTATATGTGTGTAAAATCAGATAACTGGTCGAATATCTGCTTTTGGATTATAAAAAAGGAAGTAAAGAGAGACTCACACCTGGAGTTGGCAGAGATAAAGTTTCAGCATTTAATATCCCCTTGGCACCATCCAGACGAGTCCAACTTGGTAGTCGAAAGTTCAATGTAGACAAAGTACTCTGCAGAAGTAATGATTTGTAAACATAGGTTGTAAAAGAAGAATGCAGAGGATCGTACATTTCTTTTTCACATCTCAGATTACCATGAGATATTGATGAGAAAGTAATTTCAACAACAAACTAAATGAATTACGAAAAGGACCAAACATTTTGAAAAATGAAACTATAGTGCAGAAGGATTTAGAACCAATAAAAACAAATCTTACCCAGATTATGAGAATGCTTACCCTAAAAGGTGTCTAAGATGTATTAAGCTAAATGAGATGCCATCCCATAAACCAATGTCAGAGTTACCTCAACAGGATAAAATGTAAATGTCACTCGTAGGTAAGGATCCCATGAAGCAGCTGGAACAACTGTCTGATTGATCAAAATTTTGCCAGATTTCCAATTAAATGAGCTTGATACGTACTGAATGATGTAAAGTGTAGGATTTTTTCCTTCCTCTTCGAAATAGATAGAATCCCCCAGCTTTGAGAATGATTCAACTCCTAATAAACAGAAAAAGAAATTTAGAATAAATGACTGATGAGAGTCTTACGCAGTTTCTAAAATATATAAACAAAACAATGATATACCTGTTCCATAGCAGCACCAGAAAGAGTCAAATGGTGTTCCCCAACTATGTCCAGTTTTAGCCTTGGAAACCCCAAGACCTAGTGGAAGCATATAAATCATCACTCCAGGATCTGTTCCTCTTTGAATGCTGAGAACACCATTGGTTAAGGCACGTTCATAATAGTCTGCATAAGAGACTTCTTTGGTCCATCTAAACAGGTGGCGTGAAACCTGAAATCATTTTATTTTTGAGTGGTAAGACAGTGGAAACAATCAGTCACATAAAACATACGCAGACGGCAGACACAAAATCGTGAATATATAGGGATGAATTACCATGTCAATCACTCAATCTCTCTTCATACCATAGAGAAAACTGTGAAAACTTTTACATACAAATTTTTAACTTCCCAAGCATTACATGACGAGCAAATAAAATGATGAATGATTGGGTGTACCTTTAACATGTTATAAGTTGTGCACGATTCTTCATTCTCTGTCGTTCCTAAATTGTCTGCTATTCTCTTAGGATTACTCCTACGCAAGAATTGAAGAAATGGAGTTAAGAAAGAGATCTAGAATTGGTTATCAATTAATAAAGGAACAAACAAATGCTATCTAGTTGATGTCCTTGTAACAAAAAAAAAATGCATATGAAAAAACAAAAATTAAAAATGCAACATCTGAATACCAGAACTCGCTGACTGATGTCCCTCCCGTTGCATAGCTGTGAGAAGAGTTTACGAGGTCCATAAAGAATGTTCCAATTTCCTAATACACCAATAAACAATAACAAAGCTCAGAAACTAGACATGACAAGTAAAACTACACAAAAACATACACAATAAAGGGGACCAAACAAAACAAATCCTTCGAATATAGACGTAATTTGAAGTTTCATTTTTGAATGACGGGTATTCTTCATGGAAGACACAAGGTTGACTTGCATTTCTTGCAAATATAATATTACATTTAAAAATTCAAAAGTAAATATATAATATTACATCAATAAATAGCAAATAAAAACAATTCCATTCGAACTTAATGAAATACAGATCAGTAATCTGCAAAGTGAGTGAAGCAGTTCACCTTATAAAGTGGATCGCCTGTGATTTCATACCGCATTTGAGATCCAACAACAATTGGAATATGCGTATTAGCATGCAAATCAGCTATGTCATTAGCCTACATGAGAAAAGAGAATTTTAAAATTAACTCTTGGCCCACTTGACTTAAAGTTAGATACAATTTATAGAACAGAATAAAAAGGCCTAAGTTCAACATTAAAATATGTAATTGTTTCATTTGGAGGTCAGCACAACATTACAAATAATTTACCTAATTATATATTGTATGCAAAAGCTAACAATAGTTACAACGGGCTCTAAAAATGATTAAAAAATAATTTGAAAGACAACTGCAAGTCTGCAACCTCTAGAAACTTACAACCAGAACAATATAAGACTATTTTTGTCATAAAGAATATTTTTGTCACTACCTGCACTGCAAGCAACCCTAGAAAGCACGGCTTGTCAAAAAGGTGAGCCAACAATAGATGCTTAGAATCCCCCTGCAAAGAAAAACATGACAACTTTACTTTCGAATGATGTTTACAACTTTAACTAGGTAGGTACCTTTGACTATCATCATGAAAATTATTACAAGTAAGCCAATGCTTATAAAATAATATCTCTTTACGGATTAGATAATGCTTATGATTAAATTAAAAAGTCAATTCAAGAACATCATGCAAACAAAAAATGCAACAAAAGAGTTAAAGAAATTACACAAATCAGTTAACTTACCGTTATGCTGTATAGTCTGTATAGGACATCATTCATTCCTCCAGTTTCCTCATTCATTGATATATAGTGTCTATTTACTGTGTACTTTGTTATTACATTCCGAACTCTGTTGTCGAAGTAATCAACCATCCATGTTACCATTTTTAGAGCTTGAGGGTTTCCAGCAAAAGTATATTGATCCAAGAGACCAGCCAAAATCTGTCAAAGCAGAATAGTTGAAATCCCACAAGCACAACATAAGATTAAAAACACTTGCATGATCAAAATCCACTTTGGATTGTACCTTGTGAATGGTATAATAGGGAGCCCAAACAGGTTGAATAGCTTCAAATCGATCAAACCACTCCGATGGAAATGCAGATAGATATCCAGTTCCAATTTTCTGCTGACAGGCAGACAGACCAGCCACAAGAGATGACATTTTCTGCTTCAGGCTATCATTCTGTGTGCTAGCCCACGATAGAGCTGATGCGCTCAAGTAATGCCCTTCACAGTGTAAAAAATAAACAATCATAAATTAACTTTGAAAAGTGAATTGCAGAGGCTAAAAGGTGCAGCTAGCCATCCCAGGAAGAACCAAACATGCATTTGTGTGTCAACAAATTAATGTGTGAGGGATATTTCAGAAGTTAGGAACGAACCTCAAACCAAGTAAATTCAATCATTCTTGAAATACATGGAGCCCAAGGGATCCTTTAGAGAAAACATTAGACATAGAAAGGCAAGCTTAAAGCTTTACTAAGCTTGAAAATATTTGTAGTTGTTTGTAGATAGCAAAACATCAACCACGAAATATTGTCAAAACATGACTGCAATTTTTATCCAAACAAATAGTTCGATCCTAGATTTCTATGCAAAAACTTTCCGTGTCTCAGATCTAAGTATAAATTTCAGAGCAAAAAAGTGGAAAAAGCATTTCAAGAAAAAAAGACTTGATCGGCTACGCCCATTTGAATCTTAGAATATAAACAACCAATTACAAAAGTTATTAAGATTTGATTGCATTTTAGGCCCTTCCTCCTTAGGAATCCAATTCAGTATAGTCTACTTTTCATGCATTTGTAATTGTTGGATGGAGACCAAATGGCTCAGCTTTTGAGTTTGATTTAGCAAGATAGAACATGAGTCATACGATCTGTAGTTGTTCACGGTTCGAATTTTTCAAAAAAAAAACAAACGTATGAATTGATCCATTTTATATAAACGGTTTGATTAATCAAACGGTTTTTATAAAGTGGGATAATTAATATTTTTTTTAAAAATGGATCAGATTTTTTTAAAAATGAATTAGTTTTAATATAGTTTGGTAATCCACTTTATATTTATATATGATTTGTTTTTTTTAAAAAAATAAAAAATCCAATTAAACATCTTTTTAAAAGTGCTTTAGTTAACTAAACAATTTTTACAAAATGATTTAGTTCAATTTTTTCTCAAAACGGTTCGGTTTAGTTTTGAATGGGTTCAGTTTTCTTGCACATCCCTTTATTCCGATCTTCATCAAACGGTTCTTAATTTTTGAACGTGTGAATCCATAGAAAAATGAATACAAGGAATCCGGATCCTCCTCCTTATTCCCTTGCGACTAAGAATTCATTATCAAGTAAGAGTTGAGTATAATCAAAGGGTATTAAACTGGGGACACAAGTAAAATATGGTCAAAAAAATAACAGAGTTATGATGATTAATGAAATAAACTTACCAACAAAATGACCCCTGAGCTCAACATCTGGACCTTCCCATCCTCCATAAGGTTTCCCAGGAGTGGCTAGACCAGCTGTCTTCCTGAAGCTCCAAAGCAAATTATCAACATCCAACATCAACAGATACTCCATATTCGTCTGCTGTGCTCTACCATGGATAGAATCCTCATGCAACCTCACATCCTGAAGAGGCACTTCTTTGAGAAAGCCTTGAGGTGCATTGAACACACCCATGTTCTTAATTTCCCTATACATAGCCCCCCATTCATTTTGGTGTTGTTCTGTCAACAACTTCCTTGGCAGCAAATCAGCCCAAACAGACTCATCCGTTGGCGTCAAATGGTAGTGAGACATCACCTGTGCCTTCCATGTTTCATTCTTGGATGCCAATAGCTCGTACCTCAATGTGTGAGACTGTGTTGGAATGTTTGTGCACTCTTTACTAACAGCACAACCACACAACAGAAGGGACATAAACACAAACACAACAGCCTCCATCCTCCTGAGACATTCAAAGTCAATTAAATAGTCTTAAACCAAACCAAGCAGGAACCGAAAAGCATCAAACTCTGAAACCAATTAGAGAAAAAAAATATGAGAAGGGACTTACTTTGGATATCTGAAATGAAGAGAAAGTGAAGGCTGGAGATTCAATAGAGTAAGAGAATGTAAAACATAAAATGAGAGAGGCAGAGGAGGACAAAGAAGATAAAGAGTTAAGAGAACATAGACATGTGAGGGAGAATATATATAGGCACTAGGAAACAAAGCAGGTTGGAGTGAAGTGCAGGTGCAGACAATGAAGTAAGGCTTAAGCTCATCTCGTGAAAGGTAAGGTTTGGATTTGGAAAGTAATCTCCTTTGGGATGCTAATGTTGTACACTATCATGAATTATTCCAGCTGGGGAGAGAAAAAGGGTGAACAGTAGAATACATGTTGTCTTAGCTAGCAACTAGGGACAGAAGTAGAGAGAGAAAGAGATAAGACACCTTAAACATAAACAAGGACTCACGGATGAACAATGGACAGCACGGGCATCAAAATGTTGAAAAACTGGTTATCCAATTTTAGGAATGAATGAATGTTGTCCTGAAAAGGTTGCAAGTGGAGTTGGTTGATAAGTCAGGACATGCCGTTGTTCCTGTGTGCAGTTATTTTATATTATTAGCACCATTCATTTCTATATTATTACCCTCGTTCGTTGCATGCATAACCAACCCTTAATTTCTTTAATAAAAAAAGAAAACCAACCCTTTAATTCAACTCTTCCCCTACATATCAGGGGAAAAAAAACTGATCATGTTGTAGGGCATATTGACATGTAGAGATCATAAATTGGAAAATTTATGCCAGACCAGAGACCAGAGTGGCAAATTTTCTGTGGTCCACGGAAGAGCTTGTCCCACATGAACTATTCGTCCATTAAAATAAATTGGAGCAGTATTTGGATCATAGAGGGTAAGAGTACTACATCACTCAGTCACTAATTAAATCATATTATCTAGTCTTTATTTTTAAAAAAATATTTATGTCACATAATTTTATATCTATAAATTGTAACAAAATTCATATCATATTTATAAATAAATAAAAAAAACCCAAAAAATCGTAGTTAATATAATATTAATAGAGTAACTAAATTATAAATTGGTTGAATCAAATAAATTAATACATATTTAAATAAATAATTTTAAATAAAAAAATATATAATATAAATTATTTAAACCAATTGTATAAGGTTCAAGTCTCATCTTGTATGAAAAAATACATGAAAATTTTTTAATATCAAACAACTCTTCTCTCATAGTTGAACCAGTATATATATTAATATTTAAAATTTATATATAATGTGTAGTATCTAAATAAAATTTGGTATCCACATCTTAATTTCATGTGGTGGTTGTTGATGATGTCAAGAGTTGATTGCATTTCCAATAAGGATTCATGACCGACTAGTCATAGGTTCGATTTTTAGTTAAATCGATATGGCCGAGTTTTAAAATATTGATTTGGATGCGTAAGTAGAAATTGTATTCAAAATATGAAAATTTTCTATCTTTTTCTCCTGACTTTGGTTGGGATTGAAATATTTGTTAAAAATCTCACATCAATTAAGAATAAAGTCATAATAATTTATATAAGTGGAGATCAATTTTTATCTTATAAATTTATTTTATAAGATTGAGTTAAATTCTTAATTCACTTTTTAAAGAGTATTAGTATGGATTTTCAAAGAGTTCAAGTTATAAAATTTTATTTTTTTACTTGATCACTTGAGATGTAGAAATTCTAAAATTATAAGTAAAATAGATGTGACTCAATGAACAAATTCGGCATTAATTCACACAGATTATTTTGGCCAAATTGGGATTATTAATGAGGTTAAATTTCAATTATGATTCATTACTTGGGACTTTTGGGGTAGGTATTTTTTTTTGTTAATTAATGCCTACTACAACGCAATAACTCTCAAATAAAGTACTCTATGATTGCTAAGTTGGAAAATTCTACATGTTATCGTAAATAAATGAAGCATTTGGCAGCAAGTAACCTTTTCTTGTTCGTAAATAATTTCCAAACTTACGAATATGACTTTGGAGTTTGGTTTGTTGCAAAGACACTGGAAAACTGATGGAATGCTTGATTAATTCAGACCTTACGCAAGGACATTCCTTTTATTTGAAGTGGATATATAAGAGATATTTTCTCTATAATCTAACTTCCTTTCACACCAACGAAATAGATTTTTGATTGCAATTTCTTGTCTTGAGCTTAATTCTTGGTCCTTCTAAATCACCATTATTGAAATTCTCTTCAGAGATGGAAATATCCGATTATTAAAGTGACAAAGTTGGTTATTAAAATCAATTAGTAATTAAATAAGAGACTGATTTAACATGGTTGCTAATATTTAACAATCATTATGGGTTCGATTTTTCAACAATCAATTTAGCAACCAATTAAACATATGTTTAGTTCATTGCTTGAAGGAAATACGGGTGAGAGATGATGCAGCCATATTCAAAGTTACATAAGCTATAGTTAAGCAAATACAAAATGCTTACTCATTATGCGTATTGTATCACATGAAGTTGTTACGTTTAGGCAGACACACTTTTCTGAATTTCACACGACACAGTTCCTTGTTAAGAAAAATGAGATGAGATTCAGAGGCTTCTGCCAGGTGTTTGGTGTTTGCTGTTGAAGCAATGACCTACAACTACGTACGTACAAGCCTTATCCCAAACCCATTTTTGAAATCAGAGAAAAAAGATAAATCATGGGTATATATTGCTTTCACATAATTAATATCTTGACATTGATGTGCAAGTGGGTTAGCACTGAGCCAAAATTTGTTGATAGTTTGTGAGCAAATCCACATCATTAATAAAAGTTACATTATATATCATTTGAAGCAAAATCTTACGACACCACACCCTAACCAATACAAACTTTGTCATGCCCAGGCCGAACCTTTAATTTGTCTTTATACATCTGTTGGTATTGCTTCTGTTGAAATTTTTATTTTATTTTTTTACACATAATAATGGTCGGAAACACATTAAAAATAATAGATAAAAAATCATACAATTTATTTAACGTGTTTCGACTATTCATGCATAAATCCACAATAATACTTATTGTCTCAAAAATGTATTACATATATGTTTTTGAAAATTTTTCTTTAAATTTTGTAGATGAAACTTGAAAATCTTTCGTTATAAGTTTTATGAGTAAAATTTGAAAGTTTCTTCTTCACAAACTTTATGAATGAAAATTTGAAACTCATTTCTCACAAGTTTTCTGACAAAAACTTGAAAATTCTCTTTCACGAGTTTTATGAATAAAACTTGAAAATTTCTTACTCACAAATTTTTTGACAAAATTTGGAAATTTTTGTTTATATGACCCCCTCTGTTATTTAAAGTGGTAAATCCTCTACATGTCAATAATTTTTCTCATATTAAGAGACTCTATTTATTTACCTAACATCCAATCTTAAAAAAGAAAAGAAAATTTTAAAATAAATACAATATTTTTAATTCTAAACAATATTTTAAAGATAAATAATTTTTTTTTATATCTGAACAATATCTTAAAAATTTAGAATTAAAAAATTAAATTATTTTTTCAATAGCTTCATCCCATGACTTGAACAAAACAATTAAAAAATGATCAAAGAGAAAAATGTAAAATGGTGAAAAGATTATATTATAGTAACACATTCTTTAACAAACATAACATTTTAGTCCTTGTACATCATTTTTGTTCTTTTTAAGTTCATGTCGACTATTTTTATAAGAATTAAAAGGAAATTTTATGCAATTACAAGGCTAAAAAAAGTTTGTGCAACTATAAGAATTAAAAAATAAAATTTATGCGACTCTATGGACCAAAAGAAAAAAAAAAGTAGTATATATAAGACTTGGATAAAAAAAACTTTTTAATTATAAGGACTAACATGTAAAGTTTATGAAACAAAATAGACTAAAAAAGTAATTAAATCTTAATATAATGTCTAGTTATTGTAATAATTTTTAAATAATTAAAAAAATATTATTGAAGAAATAGAAAAAAAAAAGTAGTGTTTGCTTGGAATGTAAACAAGTACAGATAATACATAACCAAAATAGGTAATATTTTAATTGGATTAGATAAAAGATTTATCTAAATATGACTTTTGGTCACTTACACCCCTTAATATAATTAAATTGAATGATAACTTGTATGATAACCTAAGGTTGGTGCAATCTTACAAAATTTCAAAATTAATTATATAATTTACTTAATTATGACTAAGATCAAAAATTCATCATAAAATAAAAAAAATATAATTAAATCTAAAATATATGGAGAAATTAAGAATTAGAATTAAAATAAATAAAAGAAACATGATTCAATTGAGCATTTTTTATTTATTTATGTTATTGGTGTGAGTATCACTAAATTGAGCATCAGTTTTCTATTCCCTTGATTTTTCCTAATAAAAAAAATGAGACGTGATTAAAAAATAATGTTTTATTTCTTACAGTAATTATTATTTTTTTACTCAGGAACACACGATTCAAGGAAAGCAATTTGAACCCTTGAATAAAATATGGTTGAAAAGTTGCAATTATCCATTAAATCATCTGATGTGAGTGTGTTGCACAAGCAGATTATTTATAAATAAAGGTCTTAATTACCATTCTACAAAAATTTGTCACTTAAATAGGTATGTGGCAACAGTCGAAATCATGAGATTTTATTTAACAAAATATAAGAAAAATGCTAATAAATTTATCATACAACTAATAAAAAATGTTTGAATTTTAAAAGACTAAAAAAATAGAAAAAAAAATGGGTCTGAACTATATAATTTTGAGCGGAAATTTTTTTTAGAAGATAATTCTACCTTTAATAATATATAAATATAAATGTAGATATAGATATAGATAAATAAATTTTAAATTTGAATTTGAATGTATAATTATTTAAAAAAATTAAAAAATAACCATATTTCACTATTATAGTATTTTCTTATGATATTTCAAATTTTCTATGAAAAATTATTTTTCTTTAATTGATGTGATTCAATTTATTAAATGCTAATAAATATATTTTAAAATTAATAGAAAAAATTTGAATTCTAAAAGGGAGTGAGAGTGAAGAAAAATTTGTAGAGGTTCCATAGTAATTAATTGACGTAATTTAATTTATTAAATGATAATAAATTTATTTATGATTAATAGAAAATATTTGAATCTTAAAAGCCTAAAAAACTTTTAGAGAAAAAATGATCCAAGCTATGTAATTTTGAGTTAGAAAAATTCTTAGAAGACTATTCTACCTTAATATATAAATATAGATTTCAAATTTTCTATAAAAAAATATTTGTGTTTAATTGATGTAATTCAATTTATTAATGTTAATAAATTTATTTTACAATTAATAGAAAAACCTTTGAATTTTGAAAGGCTAATTTAAAAAAAAAAAACAAACAAATGAGTTTGGGCTATATAATTTTTAGTGAATTTTTTTAAAAGACTATGATACCTTTAATAATATATAGATATAGATATAAATATTGATAAATTAATTTTAAATTTAAATTTGAATGTAAAATTATATTAAAAAAT